TGGCTTCTAGAGAGAGAAGTTGAGTCATTTGTAGAGGACTGGGAAAAGAGCTTCCTAGTGACCGAAAACAATCCACGGGATTTGCGTAAACGGTGTGCAGCTTGGTCGTTCAAAGACTTAATGGTCGACTCAGTCCAAGGGACAAGAATTCGGGTTACGAAATCATTCACAAAAGCTCGAAGTTTGTCGTGGTCCTGTTTGCTTAAGTGTTCACCGTGGGGACGGGTCAATTGAGGCTTCAAAACGGATTTGGCTTCTTCGATTTGGTCTGATTTCCAGCCTTGAGGAAGAAGATACCGGATCCATATATCGTCAGTGGTACTGTCAGAGAAATTAGAGGATGAACCGAGATCCAGAAAGTAGCAATTCGCGTTACCATAAGTTGAGGTCAATGTCTGAAACACTTTAGTGCCTCTAAAAGTAAAACGAAAAGGAAAATGTTTAAGTAACTTACTCACTGACTGACATCATATCCGAATCATTGATGAGAACGTAAAATTTGACTATATTGGTTGAACTGAACCACCGAAAGGGTTGAGATTTTAAAAGCTGGGCCTGTTGTTGAACAAGACTTGAAATGGCACCAAGCGTGTCAGGATTCCGAGTAGTAACGACGAACAAGCAACCGAGATAACGAGTCAGGAATTCATGCTCATGGCAATCCAAATTAGATATGAACAAATGACGCCAGCAGTCAAACCATGGAGTTGAAACTAGAAAATGTACAATTAGGACTATGAACACACCAGGTATATTGTAAGCCTTGCCATTGAGATAGAATTTGGAAAAGTTCATTGTAGGAAAGAGAGAAGGTTTAAAAACAAACTCCCGATCAATCACAGGGTTATATGGAGCAGCAGCGTTATCAAAACGAATACTGAGCTTTTTGACCATGTGGGTAATATTGTTTCCATCTTTCATAAAAACTAAAAAGCAAACCTTCAGGGATGACGAACAACCAACTATCTCTTAGCTGTCCGGAAAACGGTAATAACAGCTCATTGAATGCAAGGTTATTGGGTGCTAGAAAATCATCCACGTCCTCGGTAGTAAGAACGCCAACAGTAGGAGTAAAAACAAAATTTACAAAAGATTCACCAGACACACAGCAACTTGTCATTTTGCATATGAGCGCTACGTAACTAAATCAAAGACACCAAACTGGTCTGCAGTCATTGGCCAGCGGTCGTTATTATATGGACCTCCAACAAATGTAGGCCACCAAAACGAAACTGTTAATTGAAGGTCATCAGCAAGATATAATAGCTCCTAAGTCAAAATCGCTTTATATAATCTAGGCAAAATGCTGTAACTTTATGTTTATCGAATAAAACTTTAAAAGAACACACTTTGTGGGCTAAGCAAATAGCGTTTAATATGTGAACAAATAAAATTGCCATATCCATGCCCAATCAAAATCGTTTTTAGCCTAATTTTAAAATTTTCTAAGAGTTAGTGATTTAAATAAGCAAAAAGTCCTGCCTTCTTTAAGGCTTTGTAGAGGCACCTCGATAATTTTCCGCAAATCATGTACCAATGCGTAGGTGTATTATGCGCATATTTCGTGGCCAAAAATGATATGGCATTGAAAACTTGGCCTAAAATTTAGCTATTTCACAAAAAGACTTGAACCCATAAGTGATCATATCAACAGGTGGCACTTTGTCAAATCGCACCTTTTAGTACAATAGCACTTTGTCTATTTTCCCACCTAACTACTAGCGATGAGCTCTGGTTATCGTTTTAGCCTTATGCACATGAACTAGACTCGAAGTGAAGCCATGGTCACAACCTTTCTTCTTTCGATTGGAATACATTTATAAGGCCCAACTCGAATTCTCCTTCCGCCAAGTGTGAAGTTTTAGGGCCCTACAATTTTACCTTTTAGCGTTTCTGACAAAACAATATGCTAGGTTGTTCATAAAACCCTTTGACTCATCCGTAACATTGTGATAACTTCAAGGATTATAGCCAGCTGGTTACAGCAGCATACTAATCGTCTTATTTACTGCAACGCCCTTGAAAGCATTAAGTTGGGCCGTAAACATAATTATAGGAGGAAAGGGGATCGACTTCGTTTTGGTCCTAATGCCAGTCAACTTGATTTAATCAAGAGGAATCAAAAATGAATACCAGGCCTACAGGTGCTCACGTAAGCATGTATAACAATATCAGCTCCTTCATTGGAATATAAATAACAAACACCTGCTTTCTATGGTTCCCATCCCATTTTTTTATGCGATCACCATTAAGCGTGTATCTGCGTTGCCGCTATCTTCCAAAGCCCACTTGGCAGACTACATAAGAGCTAGTCATCTTTTATCGAGGAACTTTATTGAGCACACTGCAGTATGGGGATGGCGTATAGGAACACTAGAGGAAGGTGTTCGCTCCTACACCAACCCCAAGTCGCTTATGCTCTCAAGGCGGGTTCCATACTCTACTTCCGCCTTTGACCGCCAACATACATGCAACGTTTTCACATCTACTGAATCTGTTATTGCCTTAAAAAGTATGGGTATCACAATCTTTATTTGTTTCATCCATCCCTCTGCGTTTTGGTGCCACCCAAACTATTCTCACATGCCGTCCACATGGCAGCGAGTCTAGATAGATACTCAGAGCAATCATCATGCTCAGTTCCACTTTCTCAAGGGACGTTGCTATCAGACCCTTCCATGCCAAGTAGCCTTATTCAGCAACAGCAAAGCGACTAGACTTCTAGAGAAAAAGCTCGTTGCTCATCCAAATCTTAATCGTCTGCAGCTGGCATCAATGCGCAGAAGGGATGGGTGGATCGGGGACTAATCCTGTGACCTGGGAATAGTGGAACAAGAATGAGCTTACATGGTTCAAACTGATGTGTGAGTCAAGTTTGACACATTTAAAAACCCATCACAAGTCCCTACAACTAAAGTAGCAGGATCAAAGCCCCATCAACTTAAGACGATAAGGGAAGTAGTTTATATGGAATACGTTTATTCCTTCAAAGTCATATATGAACACCATAAAAGCAATAATTTAATTCAGTAACATCAAACTACAATCAATAAGTCTCACATAAGACACCATTATCTTGGCCCCCATTTGATATCACTTAGACCATGAAACTGCCGTTTCAGCTGCCCAGGCTCCGACCATGCAGAATTAAGGTAAGAGTCGTCGTCATTCTCCTCTAACTTCTTCAATTCCTCCTGCCTTCGATAATAATATGCCATTAACGCTCGTTGATCAGCTTCGCTAATAACAGCCTCGCGTGCGGGAGCACCAGCTCCACGTTTCTGAATCTTTACAATAACCTTAGTCTTTTCGTTCCTTCCAACATAGTCAGACAACAATTTTCCTGGTAGCATTTCCTTTCCAGAAAACCACAGTGCTGCATCTTCGGAGGGAATCACCTCAGTTCCAGCCTAGGATGTGGGGTCAGATCAACAAAATCGACTCACGTGAGTACCAGATAATTCTTCCTCATTTTTCAGTTCCATCTGAATCGGATCGTAAGGAGGAAGACCCATAGGATAGACAATGGTCACAGCACCACTAAGCATCAAAAAGGCCTCATTGACGAGTTCTTTTGTAAGCGCTTTTCCTTGTTCAACAAAATCTTTTGATATAAGGGACTTTGCGGAAGCAATTGTCTTAGTAAGGACTTCCACCATTTTCTCAGTAGGAGCTAATATATGCGATCTTCAATCAAATCAGTACCTTTCCCGTTCCGCCGACCAAGCTTATCCTTATTTTCCACGAACCCACCACTTGGGATGCATTTTTCGCCCCATTCATCAACTAATTTTAATTCTTCTATTTGGTCATCCGTCAGTCCCTTGTAATTAGACCTAAATGTACTCACTTACTTGCATATTTGGTGGAAGAGATACCCCGTGCTCGGCCAATTCTGAAATTTGATCAGCGATGCGAAATACCTTCAACCTGTAGTTATATATTTCACAGACACTTTCAATGAGATCCTTAATGTCCATAGTTGCAGGA